TCTGGCAGTCTCCGGCCACCTAAATTAGGACCCGGAGACTGCCAGATGACCCCGCTCGGAGCGCCGCCCACCGGAGCAGCAGTGACGCGACACTCGGCGAGGTAAGTAAGAAGAAACCTGACCACTGGACCACGCTGACTCGAGTATAAGCCGAGGGGGGCACTTTTCAGCAAAAAAAATGGGCTGAAAAACTCGGCTTATACTCGAGTATATACGGTACTCACCCCAATAGTTTTGCCCTGCCGCTCTGTTCTCAGTCACAGTATCCACCACAATACCCATTGTTGGCTGGTGGCAAAGCCAAAGCTGAGAGGTGATGTCAACCCCTCCATCATGTGATAGTGCTAGGGCCCAGAGATTAACTGCTAGGTCCAAGCACTCCCTTCTATATTGCTGCCGACAGCACTGGAGAAGGGAGAAGCAGGGTTGCTGGTGGGGCGAGTATCAGTTTTTCTTTCAAGCCTTGGTTCTCAACTGGTGGGTCGTGACCCAAAAGTGGGTCGCTACCCCCTGTTAAGTGGTTCACCGCGTGCCTTCCACTTTTCTACTTGAGAGACTTCTCAGCCTCCCCCTAGCACAGCACTGTCAGTTCTGATGCCAGGCAGTCTTTCAAAGTATGCTGCCTGGCACCAAGTGTCAGCTTGAGGTGGGGTGAGCTAGAGCTATGGCCATGAGGGCGCTCCATCCATACATGTATTGCTTACTGCTCCCTCACATGTCCTGTAGAGGTGCCTGGACCAGAGTGACATCACATTCTGGCTCCCGGCACCTCTACAGGGCCCCCAAGGGAGCTGCACAAGCAATGCACATATGGATGGGGCTCCATCACAGCCCACACTGGACACCAGGCTGAGGATCCAATCCAGTCCTCATAAGGTAGGAAGACTGGGTGGATCTTAAAAAAAGGAAAAAAAAATTTAAAAAGTGTTTATGTGTGTGAGATTGTGTCTGTGGTTGTGTGTGAGATCGTGTATGTGGTTGTGTGCTTCTTACAGTGTTTTTGAGGGCCCGTTCATACTAGTACAGTCATTACTCAAACAGTCCTGTGCCATTAAAGCACTGTACCATGCAATCGCACCTACTACACGTTCTGGGGCAGGAGGTAAGTTGTGTTGCAATCTCATCACCACCTTCCGCCCAGAGTTAAATCGGCCGCACTGGAATGTGCGGTACCGCAGTGCCGTGCATTCCATTGCAGAGTGACTTGGGTCGCGACTTAAAGGAGAACTATGAGGTGAGTGCTTTTCACTCACCTCATAGTTCTAGCCGACTTGTGACAATGAGACTGTCACAGGCCGGCTCAGTAGATCGGGAGGTGAGCGAACACATACCGGGTTCGCTCGCCTCTTGATCCTGTCACGGCTCTCTGCCATGACAGGGGGAGGGGCTGGATTCCCCTCTCCCCGCTCGGATCTGCCAGCGCTGACTGGCGGAACGGACGGGGGAGGGGGCGGGTACAGCTGGCTCTGCCTCTAGATAGGCAGAGCCAGCTGTCACTCACGCAGCTGGGCGGATCCCGTCATCTAAGTCGTGATCCGCTTCGGCTGCGGCGTCTCAGTATACCGTGAGCTGTAGCTCGCGGTATACTGAGCTTAGGGTAACGGGAGGACGCTAGTTTGTGTCCTCCCGTTACCCTAAGGAGAACTATAGGGAAAAACACTGACCCCATAGTTCTCCTTTAATGACCAAGGACAAATGTGTGTCCTGAGGTTACACAGTTTGAGAACTACTACTTTAAAGGAAATAGAGGTTGCCATTGCTCAACTGAAAATCTAGTTGCTTATCTGCCATTTTATTGGTTTTCAATTCTTTTTTGTAAATCACTGACCCAATA